CTCAACAACGACAACATTCGTTGCTATTTTAAAAAAAACATACATATCTAACTGAAAACACGTCCTCCATTGTATAATTACTACCATCGTCGCCAAATTAACATTATCGACAGACTTATAAACATCATTGAAAACAGAAGCAATAATAATAATAACTAACAACGACAAGAGAACGTTGCCGGTCATCATCAACGACAAACAATATCACCGTTATTCACAGCAAGGACAAATGTAGTTAGCACAAAATTCTTCTTGTCATCGTCTTCATAAACATTATCATCTGCAACAACCACGAACGCATCACCAAGAGCATTATAGAAATAATTATGGTCAACCTATCGATTCAATGTCACAATGAAACATCATCTCATCAACTTCACCATCATTTTATCCATCATCTGATTAACAACATTAATATCATCAACATCACCATGATTATCATAAACTGGAAGTAAAAACGTCAACTTTACATTAACAACAACAACATCACAGAAACATCAACATCACATTAACAATTACATGACAAAAGCATCAACATCACATTAACAACAACATAGAAACATCAACTAACAACAAATTAACAAAAACAACATAGAAACATTAGCATTACATAAGCAACAACACCAACACAAAAACATCAACATCACAACATCAACAACAACACAACAACATCAGCAGCCACATTAGCTGTGTTTCACTACCAGACTCAATTGACTTGTCATGTTTCATATTCTGACCACAAATTGACGCTAATTGTAACAAAAAGTTATCTGCATTTTACCTTTGTACGAACATTCTCATTGATCCCAAGCCAAGCCAGATGTAACACTGCTACACATGTTAGCATGTGAATATCATTCTACATATTTATATACGTGTGACACAAAAATATCAATTGAAATATTACATATGTAATGAGTACTATTTAAAATCGTGTTAAAATCACTAGCTCAACAAATCAAATTGCACTCCTCATACAAACAGTTTATACATATATAACTATGTTAACAAAAAGGTAACGTAATCATATTAATTTGATAAAAAGCTTTGTATTTGGAATTGTTGGAAAAAAACCGCCGGTTTAAACCGGTTTACAAGCGGTTCAAATTAGTTTTGCTGAGTTTCCTTTCATGATATTCTATTTTATGAGCATTTTGAAAATTTGTTGTAGTCTGTGTTCAAGTGTTATTATATTTTATTAATATGTCTTTTTAGCGGTAAAATTTGATTGATGGTTTTCGTATTAAAGTTTTTTTTGTCAAAATTGTCGTTAACGATGTAGAAGTTTTGTTGAATACGTGCAATTATTATTATTATTATATAAGAAATTAGTTTTTAAATAATTGTTTAATGAAAAATGAAATGAAATAAAATTTTTAAACTCTAGAATGTGGATTTTTGAAGCAAAAAAGTCTTCTGAACTTTTAAAATTTAGAAAATTGCAATTCATCCAATTTATCCAATCTCGAATAAAACGGATTCGCTTGAAAATCTTTTTTTTTTCAAAAGCAATTTATTTCAAATTTTCAACATTTTCAAACGCCTAAACGATTATTTATATAAGTTTGAGAACGAATTAATTTTAATTTCTTCCCATTTTAAGGTTGAACAAATATTTATACAGATCAAAATATAAAATGATAACAATAATAATACAAATATGTATCAATATATCAAACTATATAAAAATAGTCAGCGAATTAAGAGTTGCATCTTGTAATTTAGAGTTGAGTCAAAATTTACATTTGTTCACGTTGAAATATTTTGAAAAATCTCTTTGATTAACAAAATTTGATTGTTGTATTTTTGTTACGAAAATGAATTTACAAATTTATGGTTATTTTTTTAAATTTTGCGTGGACAAAAGCTGCTTTATCATGGACATTTTTATGTGAAAAAGATCAGGTCATTAGGCTTTGCATAGAACGGAGTATGAAACAAAACTGTTGTCGGGTTTTTTGTCGATGCAAGTGTTAAAATTCAGTGTATAAAAAACTTCAACATAGACTTGCAAACGTTATCTCCAAGAGGGCAATTTCTGAGCTTGTCAAAAAAAAATTATTTTTTAATTTTTTTTTCATTATAGCGTTTCATCATAAATTATTCAAATAAATTAAATCTTTATTGCTCTTACAAAAATTTCTGTTAAATTTTGTTTTCAGTTTATTCAATTAACAAAAATTAACATATTTTAAATATTTCTGCTTGAAAGTTATTCTTACATTATTGTGGTATTATAAACTGTGGATATATGAATAATTCTTATATGGACAATAAAGATGTTTTTATATTTTTTCAGCTGTTGAATTGTTTTACTCTTTACCAAGCAAAGCTCAGCCAGGCAGCAGTCCTATACTCACTCAGCATTTGAAAGAGAAATTTTTGTGTGTGAGTGTGTTGGATTTTAATCATATGTTCCAGTTTTGAAAGATAAAATATAACAAAAAGCTCTTTGACAGCATTCCATTCAACAAGTGCAAATTATTAAATTTTGTTGAATGAAGTTTAGAAAATTAAACAAACAATTGTATAAATTTTTTTCAAAAGAACTTCTAAAAGTTTTTTTTTCAAATTGAACAATGAAAAGTGTTCTTAGAACATCTGAATATTTTTTAAACTTTAAAATTTTAAACTTTTTGAGTGAAAATTTCACTGAAACAACTACAAAACATAAATTAGAATGAGCTAATTTATTCCGCGACAGTTCAACCGCGGAACGGATAACGTATATATAGTTTACGTTCGCCGTGTTCTCAGGTGACGTTGATGTTGCGAACGGAACCAAGCAAGGAGATGTTATGGATTCATTGCTGTTCAACAGCTACTTTTCATTGATGCTCCGAGCTGATTTTTGTCACGGTAGTGAGGGGATACCAATCTGCTATCGTATGGATGGAAGTGTCTTTATTATCAGACAATTGCAAGCGAAGTCCAAGATACAGATCTCTATTGTTCGTGACTTGTTATTTGCTGATGATTGCTTACTGGTTGCCCACACGCTGGCCTAGGTTCAAACGCTGTTCAACCGCTTCCGTATAACAGCTAAGAGATTTGGACTTACAGTCAGTCTAAAGAAAACTGAGACAGCCCCAAAGAAAAAATGAAGAAAATGTTGTTTTGACCCCAAGGCTTTTTGTGTGGATGCTCTGCGGCGCTTGTAATGGAGAAGGTCGGCAATTTCCGCTTTTGAACTGGCACGTACAGCTGCTCTCGCTGAAAAAGGATTCGACGAAAATAGACGGCCCTAAGCGGCGGCATCTGTGGAACATAGGTATGTTCGTCTCATTCTAGGACTCACCGTTGAACCAACTCGTTGATTCGACGATGTACTCCATAATTTATGCATGTATATACTTATACAAATATTAACAATAATAATGACGAAAATAATTTGATAATACTTTTTATTATTTTATTATCACTTATGTTATTGTTTCACCGCGCCATTTTTATTGCGTCATCAACGACGTCAATAAAAGAAACCTAATAACGTCTGTTATATCTTTGCTACAGTCCTGCAGACGATGAAATTACAAATATCTATGGTGACCATAAAAATGACGGTGGCAAAAAATTACATCAAGAATTATTTTAATTAATTTTTTCGGTATTTGTGAAAATTCTTTTGATAAATTCATTAATGACATAATTCATTAATGACATTATTCATAATAATAACAATAATACTGATATTATTATTGATATTATTACAGCTACTACTACTACTACTACTACTACTACTACTACTACTACTACTACTACATACTCTACTAATACTACAACTACTTGCAATAAAAATAAAAATTATATTTATAATATAAAGAAAAATGGCAATGATAGAATCATAAAATAATATGAGCAAAGCAATATCACTACGGTATAAAATAAACCTTGCCGCCAAATAAAAATAACAAGAGTTTGAAATATAACCAAATGTATTTTTATTCTGAGAAAATTCTTCAAAATAAGATAGTCTGAACTTTGTCAAATATTAATATAGAAGGAACGAATTTAGTGGTACTGTTCAAAATTGGCTTTTAAATTATCATTGTTCAAAAGAGTTGTTAGCCAAATGACATTTAAGAAACAGCCAAATTGTTAGAAATTTTAAATGTTGGAAACATGGAAACTATGGAAGCAGTAGATGATGTTTATAGCGTTAAATAAGACGTGAAGCCAAACTTCAAAATATTAGTAAAAATAAAATTGTATGAAAAAGTAAACTTGTAAATATAAATATTTACACAGTATTACAAGAGTAGCGTATTTACAGTGTTTGATGAATAATACTTAGTTAAACAAGATGTTAGTATTGAAGAACATGATATGAAGAGATGATAAGTTGTCGAGGGTAATAATTTGGTCATCATGGTCATCGTCATCTCCATCTTGCATCTTTTATTTATTTCGTGATTGGTTGTTTCCGATATTTTTGGCTATCTTTGCAAAGGAATGATTTTCCCCCTCTGAAAATAACTGTTTATTTTTGTTGTTTTTGATTTTTGTTTTTTTTTCATTTTTAATGTCTTTTGTATTGTTTTTGTTCTTGCTTTGTTTGTTGTTGTTTTGCTTCGATCCTAACATTTTCGATCTCAAAATAGCTTGTCAACGATGGATTTTGTTGTTGTTATTGTCATTGTTGTTTGTTTGTTATGTGATTGCTGTTGTTAATAATACGGCGGTGCTGATGGTTGTAATTGATGTTATGATGATGTATTTGAAGATCGTTTATGGTGGTATTTAGTTGGTGTCATGATATTGTTGGCGTGAAATGAACATAAGTGACATGTGCTCTGAAGTTGTGCTCAAATTTCAACAAAAATCTTCCTTACTTTTTTTTCTTCTTCCATCTTTCTTACATTTTGCAATTTTTTTTGTCCGTTTTCTTCGACTGAATTTACAATTGCTGTTGTTTGAAATATTAATGCCAGTCTGTGCGGCCCTCGTGATAATGATGATGGTCGGTTCATGTTAAGGTGACAGCGTTCATACTAGTGACCATGGTGCTGCTGCTGCTGCTGATGATGATGATGATAATGGTGATGGTGATGATGATGATGATGATGATAGTGGTGGTGATGATGGTGTATTAATAATTTTTAACATTTTTGAGAGTGTGAAATATTTTTAAAAAAATAATATCTTTAAACACAAATTTTACTTCTATTATGTTTTTTATTTCGTTAATTGTTACAGACAACAACTTGGATAATTTTGAAAGCAACCTTGCCGAAAAAGCACCGAAACGTGACCATCTTCATCGTATTATTGACATAACTCTTCGTCTAACACATCAGCAACAACATCAACAACAACATCAACAACAACAATTACATCCACAACAAGACGGTCAAAATTTTCAATTTCAAATTCAAAGACACTTGCTCAGTAGAAAGCATTCGTCAACCTTGCCTTTGTATCACAGTGTTGCGGGCAACACAAACTATCACCAACAACAGTTTTTTGAACAAAACAGCAACAATTTTCATCGCTTGTACTCAAAACTCAACAACAAAGAACCTTTCAAAAATATGAATGACAACAACTTGAACTACTGGACCGTCAAGCCACACAACAAACACCAACAATTTGCCAATAAGTTCAACAACAGAACATCTTCGTTTGGCACTCTCTACAATGACATCAACAACAATAACAATGATGAAGACGACCACAGCAATTTTAACAATTTTTGTTATTCCAACAAACCAAAGAACTACAACAACTGCCCTTCAATTTTTGAGATGTTTGACGAAACTTACGAGAATGAACTGTTCAATCAAGAAAATAACGATGACGATGAAGATAATTTTGACGCTAATGACAATCTGTTGGATATCAAACTGAACAACAATTACAACATCAACAACGGCATCAACAGCAGCAACAACATCAACAATAACATTGACGATAATATCAACATTTTAACAATACTGGCACCGGCATATCAAAGTATCCCCAAGCCACAACCTCAAAAAACTCCAACATCTCCACAACATGAATTTATACTGCCTCCTCCTCCACTATCTGATGCACCTGCTCTGCAAACTTTACTCTCACCGAACCGCCAACAACATCTACAACATTTTCAACCACGTTTACAACAGTATCTTTTCCAACAACAACAAAAGCAACAACAACAACAACAACAACATCAACAAAATGCTTTCCAGCAAACAACGTCATCAACTTTAATGAACGCATTACAACGGCGCTCAAGCACCAGCTCTCAAAACGAATGTCATTTCATTTCCGGCAGAGACTCACCTACTTCCGGTTTGCGTTGCCGCGGTGACGACGATCATCATGGAGCAGACGCTTCCGATCTTCTCGCTGCGGATCTGGTCAATGATGACGATGTTTGATGATTAGGTACATGGTGATGTTTGATGAGCTAGTGCATGATCGTGATTAATTTTTAAAAGCGTGATGGTGCTAATGTTATTTGTTGATTCGATATAACCGAACGGTGATGTCGAATCGAATGATTAAATACATTGTTAATTGATTTATAATTAATCATTTGATTAAATAACAACAATGACGTCTTATGTTTAGGTTTATATACGTTAAAAACAACTACTATTTTTAACATCTTATCTCATGTTAAAAGATTAAAAACTTATTTTGAATATGACAACAAAGCCAACCTGTTTTGTATAATTTGTCTTTGTTTTTATCTATATTTTTGGTTATTCGTACTACCATTATCTGTTATTTATTTTTATTAATTGCGAATTATTAAAATAAAACATTATAACGATGATCATGCTGAATGAGTTTCTTACAATTTAACGATTTTTAATTCTGATGTCTTGAATGACTCATAATTAATTCTTTCCTCATTGCTATGTGTTCTTTTTTATTCTTTGTTTTATTTATATTTATTTTGTATTTATATTTCTTTATTTATATTATTTTGTATGAATTCTTTAAATTATTATTTTTATGATATTAATTTCATTCTCTGCATCAGTCACATTGACAATGAGGCACTCTTCATATCATTTAGCAGTCTTAAGAGTGGAGAATAAAGACAATTGTAGAATTTTGATTGAATGAAGAAACATTAAAAAAAATGGAAAAAGTTTTACGAGAACGAAACATTGACAAAAAAGCCTACCCTCTAAATAGATTTATTCATTTATCTAACTATCCATTAAATCATCTATTCAACCATTCATTCAACCATTCATTCAATCATTCATTCATTCATTCATTCATTCATTCATTCATTCATTCATCCATCCATCCATTCATTCATTCATTCATTTCATTCATCTAACCATTCATTTAACCAACCATTTTTTAACCATTATCATTAACAATTGCAAAAGTGAACACTAAATAGAGAAACTCCTTACTCGCCAGACATCATCGATAGACAGGCAAAAAACAATGCCACGTTCCATAAATAATTTCAAAACAATTCACTCATAAAAATCAACTATTAAAAACATCAAAGACTAACCAAAAAAAATCATCAACAGCAAATACAACCACAAAAACACTAGCAACATTAACAACAATACATCAACGACAACGTTATTCACAAATAGAAGATAATACACAAGCATTAATACACAAGCATCCAAATTTTTACTCGGTATAAAAAAAATTATCACTTAGAGAATTAAGAAAATTGCAAGTGATGAAGTATCACATCACTTGCAGACGTTATTTATTTATTTCTATTTTGGCTCTCGGCCGGAAAAGGATTCGGACATCAGCGGCTAAATGTGACCGGCAAATCAATTCTAGAGATATCTCCATCTTTATGTTCGTCTTTATGCTTTGGTCAGTGAATGTAAGATGTCCATTTGTCGCTCTGTTTGATTGGTCAATTTGTTTGTATATCTGTGTTTGCTTGCATTTGTGCACGTGTGTTTGTTTGTAGGTGTGTGTATGTATGCGTAAATATATGTGTTTGTATGAATGGTACATATGTCTGCGCACATTTATTTATTTTGTTTCTCGGTTTATTTCGAGTAGACTCAATTTTGGGCTCAGTAAAAGTTGATTTAGTTATAATTTTTGTTACATAGAGAAATGTTTATAAAGCATGATCATAATAATTACATTATCTTGTTTATATCTAAACTAAAAAATATTGTTTGTGTATATTTATAGGCACCCGTGCTATATCACTTTGTGAATTATTATTCTTCCAAACGCAAATCACGATATAACTTTTTACATAGTCCATACTTTCTGTTTAATGTTATTAAAACATTAATCATCTACACATACGCACGTTCTTCTGCAGATTTACGAGAAATTTTCAGTTTTATTCTTTTATTGGTTTTTTTAAGATTTTTAATTTTTTTATAATTTCAATAAATGTCATTAATTTCATAGGCTGGAATAAATATTTTTTTAGATTTTTATTATTATTATTATTATTATTATTTCAAGTACTACTGGCAGAGGCTCCTGCCAAACAAATACAAAAACATCAAAAAACAAATTAAATTAAAAATATATCAGATGGAACTAACAAGAACACTGTCAACAGGGAATTGATTGAACTGAATATAAACACGTGAATCGCAAAAACCAAAATGAGGATAAATATATCGATAAACGACAAACGAATTTAATTATAATTCAACAAGCAAAATGGATTCAACTGTGCAGGTACACAAATCAAGTACAAATTCGAAATTAGGTGGCCATCTGAACTTGGAGTCACCGTGGTAACTGTCGACTGCTGACTTGAAACCGCTCAAGAAAATGGCATTAACAACGACCTAAGGCAGTTTGCTCCATTCTTCCACCACTCCATTCAAAAAAATTTACGGCAGTCTTTATGGCTGGAACACAGAGTTAGCTTAAAGTTTGAGCATCGTGTGCAAACAGTAACGTAGGGACAACATCAGCAGGGAGCTGACCATGTATTATTCTATATCACAAAATAAAATCGGCTTTTTTCCAATTTTTCAGAACAGCTTGGGGTTGTTATTATATTCTCTGGAAATTTTCTCCTGAGATTGTTATTTGTACATCTTTTCATTTTTCCTCTGTTTGCACGATACATTTCATCTTGTCCTCACCATATCGATATAGATCTTCAGAGTAAATGCTTTTGTAAATCAATATCCATATCTGATGATTCAGTTAATTAAGCAACCACTTACTCAAACCAAACAATCAACAACCAACAAATCAGTCAGTCAATCAATCAATCAATCTATTAACTAATCAACCAGTCGATCGATCAATCAACAAGCCAGTCATTCAATTGCCTCATTGAAACCAAAAACGTTGTACCATGTTTGCATGATTGCATGTCGTGCATTCTGATATCCCATCATCATCTAGTTATTTTTTTCAAATGTTATGCGTGAATTATTTTACTCTTGTTTCAACTATTAGTAATGTTGATGATACTTGTTATATTCCTGATTACTGCTAACACAAATAATACTGCTACTCACAGCTACGTAATAACTAACGAACTAACACAACTACTAATTAAATGAAAAAATATTAAATTTTTTTTTTATATCATTATTATAAGTTTGTGTTTATAAAAAAAAAATTATTTTCTCGTTTTTAAATTTATCTTTGTTGCTATCATCATAATTGACAAGTGCTTTGAATAGTAATAATACAATATGGTTATTGAATTTGTTCAAATATTTAAGTATGTATGCGTGTATGTTGTATGTATAGATATACATCTGAAATAATTTTCTCTAGACTGCTTATATGTACAGTTGTTTGTTGAACTCACTAAGACAAATCGTTTGTTGGGTTTGTCAATTTTTTAAAAACATTGAATTGTCAATATTTATATCATGATGAAACTGCAGATAATATAATTGGTGTCATAATTTAAATGTTCAAAATTTTTATTCAAGCCATTCGTTTTAAAATGGTTAATCATACAGCACTTTTTGGTGTTATATTCTTTTTTTTTCAAGATTATACTTGTTTGTCGATAAACAATATTTTAAACTCTGCTGTTGTTTGTTTGTATCAGCGTGTGATGCACGTTGTATGTTTTACTGTACAGCGTACACGTCAGGTCCATGTTTTGTATCTCACTTCAATCTTTTGTATACAGTGGTCGAAATTATGAGCCTGTTATGAAAATAAATAAACAATATACATTAAAAATTATATATATATATATATATATATATATATATATATATATATATATATATATATATATATATATATATGTTTATATGAGTAATTAAATACAATATTTTATAATTGCCAACAATTTAATTTATATGTTTCTGTATATGTGTATATGTTTCTGTATATGTGTATATGTTTCTGTATATGTGTATATAAATTTATGTGGGCGCGGTTAAACGCGAGCGCGTAAAAACATGAAACAAACAAGTAACAAATCCAAACTTAACTTACGTGCGTACACATTCACACGTACCTACAAACACACACACAGATACACACACTCACAGACAAATACATCTACATTAAGACATTTATTCACACATAAAAAGGTCAACCAACAAAACCACAAAGCAGTATTACGGATGAGAAAATATGTTTTTTAAAAAATTATTTCTGCCTAATTATGTACCTAGTTGAGTTTTCTTTACTTTTGGTTCGTCATAATTATAACAGTTGAGATGTGGAAAATAATCATTTATTTAGCGCGCAACTATTGATGCATACACGTGTGTACATTGTATTAATATTTTGAATAATTTAAACTTCATCTACATATTCATGAAAACCATTCCACAACAAACATCATGCTGTTGTTCTAAAGTCAAGCCACAGAACACGCATACAGACGTACTTTTTTGGTGTTTTTGTTTCATTATTATTGAAAAATATTCTTTTGGTAGATCCAATTTTGCAGTGTTTTATAACTATAATAAAATGTCAATTTGTTATTTTCAAGTAAAAATTTAGATTTTCAATTTCAATGTCTATTTTGATCATCGTTTGCTTGTAAATGTTTTCTTTAAGTGTATTTAAATATATTAAGTTCAACACGTTCTTTTTACTATTTTATACTTTAATTACTTTAATAAATTATAATTTAATTGTTTCTACTATTCTTGTATAAACTTTAAATAGATGTTATGTTTCGTGAATCCAATATTGAACATCGGAATCATTTATCACTTCATAAATTTTTATAAGACCATATACTATATAGTAATTCATATTTGAATAATTTCAAAAGTCATATTTTTTATAATGATTCTTTTTTTAACTTTGAATAAAGATGAACGTATCTTATTTGTTTCGTTTATAGTCAAATGTGTGAACTACCGAAAATCATTTCATTCAATTCATTCATTTTTTATTCCGTGGTATCGTATCGAATGGTATCCTTGCATGATACCGTATCAAATTCTCCCATCATACCGCA